CCTCCCTCCCGCTTCCCCGCCCCGCTTCTCCTCCTCTTCCTCCGCCTCCCGCTCCTGCTCGCTGGGTCTCCGGCTCCGGCGCCGGCTCCTGCTTCTCCCGGCCGCCCGGGGCCAAGACGACGAGAGGTTGTAAAAATCCATGTGGGACGGCCCCGGGGCGAGCATCCGAAAGGTGAGACGCCGACGCTGGGGTCGGGGCCGCCTGGTGCCCAGCTCCCTCGGGGTACCCGTGCCCGGGCATCCCTCGTGCCGGGTCCCCCTCGCTTGTGGGGAGCTGCAATGCGTTATCGTGGGGAGCCTAGGGGTGAACCATCCGCCTCCTCCGGGGCTTTCTCGGGCGGGGGAAGGGATGGGGCGGCCTAAGGGAGGATTTGCCTTGATGTCTAAACCCCCGGATTGGAACAAGTGCACGGTTTCCTCCGGCGCGCGGGCGCCGCTCGCTAGCCCCGGCGGCCCGGGCCACCTCCCGCAGTCCTTCTCCGGCAGCCACCCTCACTGCCATCGCCTTTCTTCTCTCAGATCCCCCTTTTATGCCTGGCGTCCCCTCTTGCCTCGAGGGGTGGGGTATTAGCGGGGGCGGGGGTCTTGAGCAACCCCAAGCAGAACAAAGTGGAGAAAGGTGGAGCCCCAGCCCAGGGGGTGGGGTGGCTGGCTGCCTGGGTGGGCTCCGAGGGGAGCGTGTGTTTTTTAAAAAAAAAACCCGTGTCAGGGAAAATGAAGCCGATTTACGGGGAGGGCTAGGGGATGGTGTATGAAAAGGAATACGATGTGAAATTGAACTGAACGGCATTCCTTCTCTCCTCCTCCCCATCTCCTAATTATACAAAAAAGGGATACTTACGAAGGTGTACCTAATTTAAAAAAATACCGTACGAGCCTTTGAAAGATCATCTTAGGACAGTGAAGATTAAGAGCTGCTTTGGTTCGGGGTAATAAAATAGCGCTCGTAAACTCTCCGTTCGGCCCTGCCTTATTTATTTTGTACTTAAGGGTCTCTGTTCTTGCCGGAGAGGGAGGGTCCGCTCTTTTAGGAGTCAATCGATTTTAGGCGGCTACCTGCCTTTGCTGGATGAAAGGCAATTTACTCCCGGAGCGGTGAATTGTCAGTTCCCTCTGTGATTGACAGCCACACCTGCCACTTACGTGGGTAGAATAGGGACCAGTGGAACCCAAAGAACCAATCAATGCTCGGGAGAGGAGGGCAGCTCCCACTTGTCATGGTTAGTTTCCTGGTTGGCTCTTTAAATCAGTGGTTTTACTTAACCATTGGTTTCCACCTGGTATGGGGATTCAGCTGTGAGAGGCAGACAAGCGGGAAGAAAACTCTTTGAAAATGGACTTTTAGAAACAAGTATATTTGACCCGTGTTTCCTTGTCCTCCCCCATCCCTTACCCACCACCCCACTGATTATTAGTTGTAGTAGTTGCGGATGCCAAGGCCATTGGCTTAAAAATGAAAATGAATCTGTGTAAAGAAGGAATTGGGGGAGGGGGTGTTAGAATTGCCCACCTATTTCTCCAGAATTGCAGTCTTTATAAGAGACACCATGTGCCGTTGAGCTATCCGGAAAAGGGTGTGGCACTTTGTCTCCTATGGTCACTCTTGTCCTTGTAAAGTCACATTGTTTCTCAGTATACAGTACTTGGGTCTTGGCTCTACTGGATGGATTTATAAGGTATTTTTGAAGCCGGCAAACGTTCTTTATGGGGAGTCACATGAATAGAAGGGATTCTTTTAGTTCTGACAGTTAACTCAACTTCTGGAAGTGAGGGCTGCCTTGTTCTCTTTTGCAGAATGTCAGTTTGGTGGTGGTGGGGTCAAGTCATTTTCTTTCTGGGGAGTAGTAGAGTTTGCCTTTTTCTCCTGTAAGCCATCTTGTCTCTTTGCTTCTGTGCTTTAATAAAATACTTTTACAGTTTTGGCAGGGAGGGGTGTGGAAGGTGATGGTGTCATGATTTTCACCAGCAAGACTTTCACCGGTGGATGAATCATGGGTGAAGGACCAGATCCTTCTCAACTCACTACTAGTGAAAGGCTGATTTTTCAACACCCTTCTCCCTGAATTCATTTAAAAAATTACTGATTGATCCAAAGAGCTGTCACTTTATAGAAGCTGTACCTGGATGTGAACATAATGCTGTGAATTAAGCATTTCATAAACAGACTGTGAGCCAGAATATACTGATTAGAATGGTTTTCATGTAGAAGTCGGGGTTGTCAAAGCAGTATTATTACTATTACTATCATCATCATTATTATTGCATAGGCAAGCACTTTGTTAAGTACTTTATATGCATTATCTTTTTTAAACCTTGTGGAGCCCCTGTGAAGTAGGTACTATTCTTATGCCCAAATTATAGATGAGTAACTAGAAAGAATTAAGTATCTTGCCACAGTTTAGTATGAAAGCAAGAACCTGAGCCCAGGTTTGTCTTACCCAGAGCCCATGACCTTGGCCATGGCCTTGACTTCAAATTTGGGTTGTGTAGTCTGCATGTGTCCAGTCTGAAGTGTAGGTTCTCCCAGCATACGTAGAGCTAACCCTCTTAAGAGTCCACTGTGATTCTGACAGTCCTTTTATCAGCCTGTTTTGCCTTTCCATTTTAAGGCTGTGGCATGGGTCAATAGGCAAATTTAGTAACTTTGTTTATTATATATTTCCAGTAGAAACATAATAAAATATAAAAAATATAACATATGATAAAATAAAAATTTTGACTCGATAGAAATTTGGTTCCAAACTTAATGATGATGACTTAAAAGAAGGTAAAACAAAACAAAATTCACACTCTTCCATTTTTTTTGACACCTTAAATTTCCAATTGGAGTTTTAAATAGATCTTGGTTGAATAAATGCTCCTAACATCATTCAATTGTCTCCCCACCAAGGGATTAGGGTTTTATTTTCTTTGTTATTTACAGAGACCGTTTTCTATTAGTGATTAGCTATAATGATATTTAAAATTATTCTTTTGTAATAGCATGACCCTCTTATTTTATTTTTTATTGTTTTTTGAAATGGAGTCTTGCTCCTGTCACACAGGCTGGAGCGTAGTGGCGCGATCTTGGCTCACTGCAATCTCCGCCTTCTGGGTTCAAGTGATTCTCCTGCCTCAGCCTCCCAAGTAGCTGGGATTACAGGTGCCTGCCACCATGCCTCTCTAATTTTTGTATTTTTAGTAGAGACGGGGTTTCACCATGTTGGCCAGGCTGGTCTCGAACTCCTGACCTCAGGTGATCCTCCTGCCTTGGCCTCCCAAAGTGCTGGCATTACAGGTGTGACCAGCTCTCTTGTTTTTAATATGTTGGAAAAGCTACAAGATGTAAGCCTTATCAGTCTCTTCCCGTTGGTGAAACTCAGTGGTGAAGGTTTGCCAAAACAGGTATCCTGAAAAATAAGGTGAATGATGTTGGAGTCCACAAATTTACCTAAAGAGTCTTTGACTTTGGTTAGGTTGACTTTTGTACAATCTGCATTTGCTTGTTTTACTAGGACATCCTCTAGCCCTTTTTTTTTTTTTTTTTTTTTTTTTAAATCTGCTAACCAGTTAACATTTTGGCTGGTCCATGGGGCACCTACTTGCCAGCCAACAGTTTCTGTTTCAGCAATGTTTACACTATTCCTTTATATTTTATTGTGATTTTCTTAGTTTAGAAACATAGGATGAATGGAAAACACAGAAAAGCACCAATATTCATGGTAATGTGGGTCTCATAAATTTAAAATAGTTGATCCAAAGGTAGAAATCACTGGATGTACAAAACATGGAGATTCTTTAGCCTGTTCTTTTTATGTGAAGAAAAGGAACAAAGTGAATGAAGATATAAGACATGCTAACATATATCAAATGATAAGATATATTAGTCAGCTTTGGCAGTGTAACAAAACTCCGAATTACAGCAACAGGTATTTATTTTCACACTCATGGGTCTTCAGGTTGACCGTGATTTGGCTGGTATAGGTTGGGCTCCTTGGGGTGGCTGTGCAGAGGCTGTGGGTTGGGTTCCAGTCTGCTCCACATGTGTCCTGGGGCCCAGGCTGAAGGGATGGCGGCTACTTGGGGCATACTTTTCTCCTGGCAGATCACTGGAGCCAAGAGGCAAACTGCACGAGCAAATGTCACTTTCACTGATAACCTATTTTGGACAAAGCACTATTTTGGACAAAACTTGTGTGTAAAAGCAGACTCTGTTCACAGTAAGGGAGCGAATATCTGATGAACTATGATCCAGATTCCAACAGCATGTAAAAATTATGATGAGAGGCTTTTCTAATTTTTTCTTTGTCTTGGGGAATGCAATTTTCATCCCCTTACTCCCATTGCTGGCTGTGTGACATATAAACCTGGTGCTTAACTTCTGCATTTCAGGAATATACTGTGTTTGATTTTAGAGGGCTGGCTGTAAAGCAGGTTGGTGTATACATATGAATTACTTAAATTATTAAGGCATTATTTATTAGAACCTACTGTGTTCCAAGAGACAATCTTCAGTCTCTAAAAACTTTGGTGAACACAGTTTTTATCTGATGTGGGTCCTGCCACCATGAAACTTATCATTAGGAATAAGTGTAAGGAAGGACTTCTTGGATGCAATGGCATTTTCCTGGACCTTAAAGCAGGGAGAGTTGGAGATGCAGATAGAGCAAGGGATACCATAAAAACGTAGGGGCACACATGGATATTGAGTTATTCCATTTGGCCAGAGAGTAAGAAAGGTGAATAACAACAACAATATAATTATAACAGTAGTATTTATAGCCTAACTTCTATTGGGCAGTTAACTATGTGTTAGGCACTGTGCTTAGCACTTTCCATAAGATATTTAATATTGGGTAGGCATTGCTGGTTGCCTACCCAACATTCATTTTCTCCTTTCTAACTAAAAGAAACCCAATTTTGTCTGAGATGGAAATAAGCCCACCTCACCTTCCCAAGACTCCCTTGAACTTAGAGTGGCCATGAGAGTTGAGTCTGATAATGACATAAGTGGAAGTTGTTGGGTGGAGGCTTTCCTGAAAATGTGGTGAGTGGGACACACCTGGTTGTTATACTCCAAGAACTTTTCAGCTTTTAGCTTCTTGCTGCTGAGATCATCGGTGCAATGCCTGGAGGGGTAGCAGCCAACTACAACAATGAAGATAAAGTCATGGTTTTTATTTTGTTTGTTTG